TTTAATTTTTATTTGTTTTCTTTTGTCTCCAATTGCATGAACATAAACATGAATCATTCTTATAGGGCATAAAATACATATAAAATTTTTATTTTGCTCCCAGTTTCGTCTTCAACATATCTATACATAAAATAAACTCAATTAAACACAAATATAATATTGTTTAATATTAAAGTCCCAAAATGCAAGGTAAGTACTGCACTAAAAATATATAATTATAGTCACACATCACTACCCCACACTTAAACATTGCTCGTCCTCGAGTCAACTAACACTTTACACTACCTTTGAGCACTTTGTTTTTATACAATTGAGGCACACTACACCAATGACAATGGTTTATTGCAACAATTAAACTCTAGCATATGCAATCACATGCACTTTCCTTTTCTTATGCCATACTTCACAAATATTCACAACAAAGACAACATACTGCTGACAATCCTAGCCTCAAAAACCAACTAAATATCACAATGCACTCATGTCTTGAACACCCAACGTTATAGAGAGAAGTGTAATAACGTTACATATCCCTCATGAAACCATGTGCCCTCACAACAAGAACAAAAGAGTAAGTTGAATCCACACATTCGAATCTCATGATCAAATATAATTTAAAGACTCACATATATTAAAGAAAACCTCTCACTCTCACAAAAGAAGTCACATGCATGCAATTGGCACCATAGGATTGCCCTTAATATAAATCTCTACTAATGTAGGGTCACTCGATCTAAATTCAATTAGGACTTTTCATGGTTGTAATGTGGGTCAAGGGACAGGAAGGATATATTTAGGAATAGTGGCTAACCCTCCTAAGTAATTTAACACATCATATAATAATTTTTAAGCGCAAATTCTTCAATCCACTTTAATTTCACAAACAAGATCACACCCCAAAAATATTCCCTTCTTCTTTAAGCACTACTTTAATTCATACTGTGAACACGTAATTTTTGTCCTATATGAAATACTCCAACAAATTAAAGAAACAAATTTTTTCCAATTATTTACAATTTTGTAAGATTTTGTGTTAATTATTTGAATTTTTGTGCATGTTTACTTTCATTAAAACCAAAAAAATTCCAAAATTACCATGCATTGCATTTAGGTTTTATTTTTACATTTTAAGGTTAATTAGTGAATTAGTTGCTTTATTAAAATTGAAAATCAAAAAAATTGGCTTACTTTAACATTTTTAGCTTTTAATTTTAGAATAGTTGTTTTTCTCTTTTGATTTAGGATTAAATAATTTTTCATATTTTTTATAATAGATAATTAGTTTAATCTTACAAATTAGATCAATTTAGGATTTAATTTAGGATTTTAATTAATTATAGAAAAAGAAAAAATATATATAAAAGAAAACATAAGAAAAGGAAATTGAAGAGTTTGTTTTAAAACCCCGAATTGGGCCAATTAAGTTAAAACCCAAACAAATTCTTTGACCCAGATCTGCCCAACCCAACATTTAACCCGGTCCAGCTCCCCCATAATTAACCAAACAACCATGTTTTGCAGTAGATGATTACAGCCATTGGATCTTGGCAATCCAACGGCTCAGAACTGATGAGTTGTTTAATAGATATATGTCCGAACCAGCACCCCCTCTCCCCATTCCACTCCCCCCTTCATTCCCTATCTCTCAAGTTCAGAGAACAGGAACCCTAGCCGTCGCCCTAAAAACCCCATCGTCTCCGCCGTCACCCACCTGCCGGGAATCGCCTCACGGCGGTTCTGGCGCTCCAATCTGCTCCAAATTAACACCACACAATCCCCGTTCCCTCCTCTTTCCAAACACCCCGACCATTTTCCGCAAATCATCATCAAACCCCTCAAATCTTAGATTTAAGATCGGAGTCCCAAAACCCTAATCCCTCCAAGCATCCCCAAATTGATACAAGGCGACCCCTGTCCCCTCCTCTTCCCAAATACATCAGCAAAATACCCCTAAACACTTCCTAGCTCCCCGAATTTTGGA